GACGGGCCGGAGTACAGCCCCACGCAGTTCCAGGAGTCCCGCCTGGGGCAGTTCCGCCTCTTCTTTGTCACCCAGGTTCGGTGGCCCCCAGCTGAGCAGTTGCAGGTCCTGCTCCCGGTGCAGGTCCAGCTGCCCAGCGGAGGCCTTTAGCACCAATAAAGCAAAGCCCTGGACCACCACTGTGCCTGTGCCGAGCGGGAGGGAGCCCCGCGCGGTCCAGACGCCTGGCCAGTGGGAGCCCAGTCTGAGGACACTGGTTTGCAGGACTTGGGGGTGCTCCTGCCTGGAGGTGGGCGGGCCAACCAGTCCCTCCAGACGGGAGCAGCAGGGTGTGGGGGAGACGGGGAGCTCGGGGACCCGCCCCAGGGGTCCCAGCCTTGGAGAGCAGAAGGGGTGGGTGTGGGTGTGTAGACAGGCAGCCAGAAGGTAAAACGTAGTCAATTTTATTTTCCTTAAACCACAAAATAGAGTCTTTGGTTGTACAAACATCACTAGTTACAGTCTTGCCAAGAGGTCCTGGCTGGGGAGGGAGCTGTTAGTCGAAGGCCAGAACTCCTGAGGGATCTCTAAAATGCTAACACCCAGGTTAAAAGACTTGGGGCAAGGGTGGTGTTGGTGCTGGCAGGGCCCCCACCCCAAGTCCGGGGAAGGGACCCACCCCTCTAGGAGGGCACTGGGCCCAGGCCTCGGCGCCCTGGCCGCAGGGGGCGGCGGCTGCTGCACAGGGCCATGTCCTCGGGGCCCACGGCGTCCGGTGAGGGCCTGCCCAGAAGCACCAAGGCCACCTCTCCATCCTCCTCCTGCAGGCCTGGCGGGCAGAGGCAGGGGAGGGAGTGAGGGCGGGGCCAGGGGCCTGAGCACCCCCACCCCCACTGGGCCTGGCAACTCACCAGGGCTGGGAGATGGCTCCAGGGACCTCAGTTCCTCTGCAAAATCTGGGGACTGTGTGGAGAAAGGGCTGTGTCAGGCTCTGCCCAGACCGTCAGGAAACCACCCAAGGAGCCTGGGTGGGGAGGCCCCACACCCAAGGAGCAGGTCTGGCCCCAGAGAGAGACAGGGAAGGTGCTGGAGGCAGGACAGGGCGGGGGAGGCCCAGGCGGAGGTGGCAGCAGCTACGGCCTGTCCACAGGGGCCAGGCGCCTGGTACCTGCATGTCATAGACAGGCCTGGAAGAAGGCAGGGCGGCGAACACCCTGTAGTCGAACTTCCTCCCAGACAAGGCCTTGAGAGGACAGCATGAGGGGAGAGAGGCAGAGGCAGAGACTGAGAAGAGGGTGGGGGGTGCAGCCTGGACCCCGCCCTCGCTGCAGGGGCGGGGGCGGGGAAGGGGAGGCAGCTGGTCCTCACCAGACGTCCCGGGGAGGTGCTGGTCAGGGGGCCGAGGTCTGGGGGGACAAGAAACAGGTGTTGGGAGAGGCCCGCACTGCAGGCCAGGCCTGACTCCCCTTGGGCACACGGACCTTCCAGGGGTGGGTGACG